TTCGGATCCCATGTGGAGACCGGTTCCCGCTCACTGGCTGAGCGCGGTGCGGACGCAACACCGAGGGTTGTGATCCCGTTACTGGTCAGTAAAAAAAGACAAAAAGGAAAAAAAAAAAAGAAAATTGACCTTTCTGGGCTGTCAGCAGCGACTGAATGTCAAGTGACAGCAGTCACTCAAAGGTCACAAACCTAGCCAGAATTCCTGTTGATAAAGGGATTTACAGGAAAAGATTGAGGATATAAGGCATTTAATTATATTCAAAGTTGGAAATCATTTTTAAAATGTGTACTTAAGTTTAAAAAAATAAGCAATACAGTTTTCCAGAATTTATCCTGTCACTAAATAGAGGGACTCTCAGGCATCAGGAATTAAAGAGCTACTATTTCTAACTTTGCTTACCCCGAGTACAACTTCCAAGGGAAGAACATGGTTTCTCTTGCTTTTGCTAACCAGAGCACTGAGAATATCTGTCTCCTGACCCTCTACATTGGTTGATGATACAGAAAGCAAAAGTTTATTGCCAGCTCCTACTGTGTGCCCTGAGTCAGGGGGTCAGAGAGAGGCAAGTGTTCTGGCCTCCAGCCTGAGGCTACGTACCTGGTTGCATCATGAAAGCAGGCTCACCACTGAAGAGTGTGCCACGCCTTCCAGTGCAACACTGGCCATGGGACAAAAGAAGCTCACGCTGTTTCATAGTCTGTCTCTTAACAAACCAAGAACACTCCAGTTCCAAACTCAGCTCCATGATCTCCATGTAACTTCAGTACAGCAAGAACTATTTATAGAGTCATGGACATTTGTGTGCCAAAAAGCCTTACTTAAAAGCCTCAACCTTGCAGCTACTAATGGATTCAAAATAAAAGTTTCCCCAAAGAGTCACACACATATCCACAAGCGTGATTCCCAAGAGCAGAGTGCTCTCCTTTTCCACCTTTTTAAAAGCACAGTCTTGACTTTTCCAGCTGAAACTGAAGTCTGACTGCTATAGGCCTTCACTGGAAACAGCAGCACATTGGCCCCAGACACGGTGTTGCCATAACTACCTGAGCCTACTGAACCTGGGGTCCACCCCACGTGTTCATCCAGATACACAGAAAGGGTCGCAGAGGCTGGGAGAAAGCTAATGAAAATGTAAGGCTGGTCCTCTGGCCCAGGGGTGGCCGTTGAGCTGGTTTTGACAGATGTGAGTTGACCCATGAGATGCTGGAACTCAGAAAAGCAGCTGTTTGTCCTGTCTCCCCATCCTTCCATGTCAGTACGTCTTACAGGTAACTGAATGGGCTTCCTGGGCATCCAAACGCATTATTTCAATATTTTTTCTATAACTCTCAAGATACATTAATACACTTTGAGTAAATATATACTCATTATCAGAAAGTGCCTGGAGTTTATAGAGACACTTTCACATATATGATCTTGCCTCTAAAAATCCTGCAGGCAGGCCTTTTTCAGATGAGAGAACTGAGGTGGAGCAGGGTTCAAATGAGTTGCCCAAGGAAAATGGAACTGAGATTTTCTAACATCTAGGTCCACTGCTTACTTATCTAGAGCACAGGACCGACCACTCAACACTCAAATCAGGTCATTGTCATGGACATCAAAGAGCACTGGGTTCCTAGCAGAGCTGAGCGTCCTGGGGGAAGCTCAGGAACAGGTGGCCATGGGCCCTGACAACAGATACGCACAGTGGGTTACAACTGGATTCTTCTAAAGACTCAAATTGCCAATCAGTTATTGACAAGTTCAACAGCACATTAGAAACTGAGTTTGTGATAACACCAAAGCAACCATTCTAAAAATAGCCACCCAAACATGGGCAGATCACTGTGGTCTTCAGAGAAAGGCAGTGCCTCACTTCCTTCCGTACACACGATGCCCCTTCCAACCACTTCTGTTTCTTGACACGACTAGTAACCAGGGAAGTTCTCTAACACTCCTTCCCCTCCATCCAGGCATGGGTACTACTCTGTTTTCCTAGTAAGACGCCTCCTCAACCATCCTCAATCTTAATGATTTACATTTCTGTGAAATATCGACAGTTAGTGCCTGCCTACACAGCCCCCGAGTAGAACATACCTGCCCCATTTCCTACCTACCCATGCCCTTTTCTGGTCTAGCTACACCACCTGTCCCCTGCCCTCCTAGATGACTCTTCCCCACATCAGCCCATTTGACTCCAGCCCTATTTATTTCTCAAACAGGCAGAGCTCACAAAATTACTGCATGACCTGTGATTTCTTTGCTCTCCAGCAGTGAAAACTCAAGGTTGGCTGACATCCCAATGTTTAATGACTTTCAGAGACGCCGGCCGCTTGGGATTGTAAACATGAAAGCATGTGGTCTGCATGCCCGATATGTGGGACTTGTGTGCACTCATGCTTGAGAGCCATGAAGGATGACCCTGACAAGCCTGTGGACTCCCAGACTCACAAACACCACCATAGCTTACAACTTCTTCCCAGATGAGGTACAGTAACATGCCATTCTAGAGCTCCAGGACACAGCACAAGGCCAGCCTCAGGATCAGAGGCTAGTCCAGCGGGATTGCTGAGCTGCTCAGTACTTTAATTCCACCCAGGCCTTCAGCCTGCAAGGGCCACATCCAAGCTTCAGGGAAACTGTATTCTATTTCTGGGCCACTTCTGGACAGCCAAGAGTGAATGTTACAGCCGTAACTGCCATGGGTCCCCAAAGCCCTGCTCCCATCCTGCTAAAGCCCCATCCCATGGCTCTCCATACGGTTGCTGTCATCTTAAAAGGGTAGTGATTATGAATTTCTCTTTATAGTTATGAACAGAGTTAAAAGGACATCAAAGACTTTTCAGCTGTGAAGAAATAGAGGACTGCACTTTCCTAAACCAGAAAGATCTGTCACTTCACTGAGACAGGCTGTAGAAGGGCGCCATCCCCCATGGGAGCCACCGGCGCATGTGGCCACTGTGTACTTGAAGTGCAGCTGGTCTGAGAGGCACTGCTAGTGCAAAAAAGCATACCAGATTCCCGAGATAAAAGTGAAAAAGTGTGCAAAATATCTCATTAATGTTTTATACTGAGTGATACTGAAATGAAGTAAAACATATTATTAGAATTAATGTTCTAATAACATATCATTAGAATTAATTAATCATTATTATTAACTAATGATAATTAATTATTAGAATTATTAGAATTAACAGGCTTCTAAAAAATTTAAAGTTGCTTTTAAATGGCTTGCATTTGTGACTCCCATTCTATTGCTGTTGGATAGACAGCTCTGCTCTGCTTCAGGTAAAACCCAACAGCTTCCTTGAGTGTTTGCTTCTAGAGAAAAGATGCACATGCTAAAGCTTTGGTTTAAGGTACACTTTTTTAGAATGAGACCCTTACTGTGGACATCCCATCAATGGTGGTACCTCATGGAAGGCCTGTGAGCAACCGCAGCTTGGCACCACCAGGCCAGCACCCGCCCCTGCAGGGTCACGTCCTCCTCCAGGGGAAGCAGGGCATGGGCACACAAGGGTTCCAGAGCTTTGACCACTTCACAATCCTGTACTTATCTGAACTTACAGTCCTGTATTCATTTTTAATATCTCCAAATAATACAGAAAAGAAAAAAAAAAGCTTACAGGTTTTGAGATGGTGAATCTGCTGCTGGAATGCACAGGTATTTAACTCCCTGTAGAAAGAAACAAAAATAAATAAATAAATAAATACAAATAAAAAGACAATACTCAGTGGCGAGAAGTATTTAAAGGAACTATTTACTTAGGTTAAAAAAGAAAAAAGAAAAAGGAGAAGTTTTACACTCATCGTTTGTTGCCAAGGAACTGGGTTAAATCTCTTTAATTAAGGTTCCTGGTTATTTTCCGTGACCGTGTGCACAAATATTCATGCTTTAGTTTGCAAACAGCTTGTGGGTTTAGACAAAATTCAAAGAGTGCATCATAAAAGTGAGATAGTTGAGTACTTTTCAGTTAGTGTCAACAAGTTTCAAAACTATCATTTTAGGTGCTTACTCACATATTCCACATTTTTAATATATTTCATTTAGGACCCTGAATACCCCCAAAAAAGAACTGCTAGTAAAAACCTTAACATAATGACTGAAAACTATAATGTCATGTTACAACTTTTTATATCAATTTTAGTATCATGACAGCTACAGTTTCATTGATGCACTGACAGGAGCTTGACACTTAAAACGATTTGTTTTATTTTTGCTTGCTTTTCAGAACAATAAAGGTATGGGTACCAAACTAACATTTTTTAAAAAGAATGGCCCAATTTGAAATAAATGAACTTTATATAGATTCTCTATAAGTATCTAAAAAAAGTTTATATAAATTCATGCTACGAAAATCACATGCTAAGTTTGAATTTTATCAAAAACCTGGTTGTTTCTCTTTCAGAGTGATGGAGAGTGTAGTTCGAAAGGTCTCCAATGGCGAGTAAGTGCCAAACACACACGTCTCCGCGGCATTTGCCAGAGAACGTGGCTTTATGAAGAATCAGATGAACCATTTCAGACCGTCTTCTCTCACTTGCCTTATCTTACAGAATCTTGCCACCATGTCTTGGACAATAAGTGTGGGACACATCGGAAATTAGAAAAATTACCAAACTAAGAGAACAAAATAAGGACAGATACGCAGAAGAGCAACACAGACAACCACAGGTCCCTCACAAGATAAAGTTATAAAACAACTTGTCTTCTACGATTATTTAAAAATTTTTACAATTTTCTATTAAGCTTTTACTGTTAACTCCTGTCATTAGGAATTTCTATGCTGTATGAGGGTACTTCAAAAAGTTCATGGAAACATCCACATTATCTTGTAATACTATTTTTTGTGAACTTTTGGAAATACTCCCATATTTGCTAATATAGTCTTGTAAGGAACATATAAATTCATGCCCCAAATCTTTCCACACCTTCTCCACATTGTGATAGTTCCTCATGAAATGTGAGTCCCACTTTTCCAATACAGTAGCCACACAGCTTCGTTCCCCAACCTCTTTTGCCATGAGGGTGCAGACTGGCGTCTGGTTTTGTGGTTCTGACACACCCACAGGAGACAGATTTGGAAAGATGGAGGAGACAGGAGCAGAGACCTGTGCTTGCTGGGGCAGGTGGTGGCAGAGGTGGGTGGCTCTGGGCAAAGGTGACTGCAGAACTCGTCAGGCCAGCTGTGACTTCAGCTTAAAGCCTGTTTCTCCAGCTCTTCTTGGGAAACTATAAGCTTTCAACTCTCTCTTAATAAACCCCTTTCTGCCAAAACTGGCTCAGAGTGGGATCTGCTGTTTGCAGCTAAGGCCTTGAGCAATGCAATTCCCATATCCCTCAGTTGTCAGAGCAAACGATTCTTTCCTGCAGAGTTTCTACATATTTTCCCCCCAGCTTTGAGTCAATCATTATATCTTCCAATAGATGCTCCTCTAGGTTTTGAAGATGAGTTTTAACACTGTTTATCCAGTTGCAAACATTTCACTTGAGACCAAATGGGCTTTAACAATGCCAAGGGTTAAATTTAAGGATCAGCTGGTGAAAGAGGATTCTCCCTTGTTCAGCTTTCACTTCATCATTCTTAATCACCTCCTTCTGTCTCTGTCCTTATTTTTCCTGGGTTCTGGGGACTGTGCTCTGCTGGGAATATTGAGCAGTTGTCTGAAATTAAAAAGCACCTTCAAACCTAGAGAGTTGTTAACAGCTGTAATTCAAATGGCAAGGAAACAGAAAAGGAAATGCTACTGTTAAAAAAAAAAAAAAAGTCACTTCACTCCCCTCCCTCAAGGCTGAAGGATCTTTCTGGTGTAGATGCATATACCTATCATTTCCTACAGCTGCCATTGAAATGACTCATTCACTTCTCTTGCTATTAAGTGAGATCTGGCAGAGGGTCAGGCCCAGAAGGTGGTAAAATTCTCTCCTCCCACACACTTCCCCCAACCTCCTTTCAGTCTAGTACTTCCAGAGGGACCAGGAGGGTTTTCGTCCCACCTTCCTATCTTCTGCCATCTTCAGTGTCAGTGACTTAAGTGGAGCAGGGACGCTGAGGCACACCCCTCCAGGGTAGGATTCAAATGCCCACCTGAAACCAATGCTGGCTGACAGCCACTTCACTCAAGAGGAATCTAAAATCAGCCCAGTCCATATACTGAGAGGAAAAAGTGAAGAACGGGAAGAGAATGGAGAGAGAGTGGGTTAAATAGCTCCTTGCTTGTTAAGAGCGTTCACCATAAAAGCCAGCAGTAGTGGAACTGGAAAGCCCTGGGCTTCCTTTAGGTGGCCCAGGGTGAGGCCATGTTCCCCTCGTGGTGCCTGGTGCTCAGCCCATGAGACAGGAGCACCCATCCGGTGGGCACAGTGGAGCCTGGGAGCGAGAGCGGGGAGGGTGTCCCTGCCTCCGAGGCACTCTGGGCCCCCGCCCGCCCAGGGCTCATGGGGAGGACGTGCTGCTACGACAGCTTCTCATCTGGGGAACTTCAGAGAAGGGACAATGAGGTGCCCGAGCACAGGCTTGGGGACCTCTGCTGCTAAGGCAGGACAGAGGAAATATAAAATATAAGGCCAGCTCGTGTTCCCTCAAAAACAGAGACACAGCAGCAGCAACAACGATGAGTCCTCCGGAATGGCACCAGCCCCAGGGCGCCCGTGCTCAATGTCTGCTCAGCGACAAGGCGGAGTGGGGCTGCAGGCAGCATGGGGGCCACGCTACGAGACTGACGCAGGGAAGAGACATGTCCCGGAGGCCATGGAGCAAGACAACGGGGCTTCCAGCTGTGCCACGTGAAGGGCACGGGCCCACACAACGCTCTAGTGATATCAGCCTCCCCCTGCCCACTGGAACGGGATGTGGCCAGGAACCAGTCTGCCATGATCTACAATAAGAAGTATGCAAATTCAGTCAAGGAAGGAGTCAGAACTGTCAGAAAGGTCACCTGTGCACTGCCCAAGAGCATCCATGGGTCTTGGCTTAGTCATTAACAAAGCATGAAAAGCATCCGTCTTCAAGGCCCCAGATTGCAGAACTCGAGCTGCCTAAAACAGGCTTCGGATGTCTGCACACGTGTGCAAGTCACGGCAGTTAATTACTAATTCAGAAAGGAGCACGAGGTCCCAGTGCCACAAGAAGGCAGCATGACTTAAAATGATCCTGGTATTAATGAACTGATTTCTGCAAACATTTTCATGTGACAGAGCGCTCGCTAAAAGACCACTCTCTGGTGTTGGGGCTCGAAAAGACAAAGATAAGGGATAGGGTGTGTTTAGTTAAACTATGGAAAATATAGGAAACTTAGAGGTTAAAAAAATAAAAATTACAGAACAATCTGAAAAATTCCTAAGTAATAAAAATAGCAATGTTTCTGTTAGTATCACATTTGCTACATGATATTTACTCTCCTTCATACTACTTGTAATATTTTTAAAAATCATGCAAATAAAATTGGTTATCGTCTTCCTCAAAATAAAGTTCTCACTAAATAAAAAAAATTAAGCACGTGCAAAGAAGTTTCTGGTGGAAAGCCAACTAACATTAAACTTTCATGGAGCTATCAAATGTTGAGTTACGGCTTTTCAAGCTGGAGTGCTTGTTTTGTTTGCACCGAAATACAAAAATAGCTCAGTTAAGGGAAAAGTCTCCACCTATGCTTTAAGATTCCTGTGGGTGACAAAAAAAGGGTAGCTAATTTCTTTTTACCACATGGCATTTTGAATGGCCTAACATGTCCAGAGAAGTGCACCCATGCTGATTAGGTGGGCACCGGAGGGAGCAAAAAGGGGAAGAATTAGGAAAATCGTTTACGTACATGGAGGTGACCACATAAACACTGAATATGCATAATATCAAGCAGCACATCAATTAACGTGAAACAGTGTGGTGTAAACATTAGGAAAACACAGGAAAGAAGTAAAAGAGTTAGGAGGGTCTGTGAAGGAGAGCTTTCTGGTAAAGCCTTTGTGTTTAGGGTTTGAAAGAAATAATAGATGTCACTTGGCAGAGAAGAAAGTTCAGAAAGTATTCCAGAGGCTCTTTGTGAATGAAAAATTAAAGCTGTCTAAGTCCATATTCTCAAAAGTTCTAACATTTTTCAGTTTTCTGTTTCAACAAGCATAGTAACCACCAAAAGTAAGGTTTTTGCCTTTCTTCAGGCCTGAAACTAAAGATCACACTTAAAACGATACATCGTCAAGTACTTGAAAAACAGGACCAAGACTCTGGCTTCAAGACTAGTAAAAAGATCAGACTCTCGCTTGTTTCAAGTACGATTTCTAGCATTCGCTGCTCTTTTCTTTCTGAAACACCATAAGTAAGAGTCTTCTGCAGAACCTAGTTGACGTTCTACTTTTCAGAACAAAGATCAAGTCCTTCAAGCTGTCTTCTCTCTCTCAAGAAAGCGAACAAAAGCTTTAGTTATAGAATACGGCTAGATCCCCGCAGGAGCCTATTCAAAGCTCGAGGAGGAGGAGTTCTCCAAGAGGCCAGACTTGGGAAATCCACCCAGCGGAAAGGTGATGTTAGCTGCACATCTTAGCCCATCCAGTACGAGTGACAGCACGGGTGAGCCCAGGAGGGGCCCGGCCGCAGAGACGACATCTTGCCTGCGACCAGCTGTCCCTGGAGGAGGCAGGGGGATGGCCTGCTGGAGTGGCCTCTGTAGCTCCCACACACGCTG